TAACCCCTGTTCGGAGGAAATGTTAAGGCAAAAAATCAATTTTTGGACCATAGTTTTGCCACATAAAGAAGTCAATCGAATCCTATCGTTTTGTCTATGCCTATATCTTTCTTTATTTACGGCAATTCCTCGCTAAAATCCTTTCCTAAGACAATTCAGTTGCTAAGAGAGACCTCTAGATATATTAACAGATTATCTAATTTATTAGCCCATTTTGTGCTGAGCTACCCAGTGCGTAACCTTGTCTCCCCTACTCTTCTGGTTGTCGGCCTGAGCATCGTTCTCTCTTTCTTAATCTTCATCCGAATCCTATTTTTTCCTTCTTGTAGCTCTAGAAACTGATGTTTTAGTTGTTCGTGGGGTTTGTCTATATTCATGCAGTCATTTTTTTGACCAACACTCTCACATGTGGGTCCCAGGTGACCAAAAAAGTGGTCAAAATTTTAATTTCCTTTTTTGTAGAAAAGCTGCTCATATTCAAAAGGTTTTTACTTTCACGTTAAGGTTAACTGCTTTATTTAGCTTTTCGTTTGGTCCATTATTTTCAATATATTTTTTATTTTTTAATCACACATCATTCATCAAAATACTATTTCAAAATGTATTTTGGACCCAAAAAAAAAAAACCCAAATATGCTTTTAATATACACTAAAAAGTTAAGTTGAAATCTGAATTTTTAATTGGTTTAATTGAATAACGTAATAGAACAGAAAATTTTCGTTTGAACAATCTAGATAGTTTTGCTACATGAATAGGGCCACGGGCCCTGTTTGATAAGAATTATTCCAATCTAGAATGATTGAAGAAAATAACAAATCAGTAAATGCACTGTGCAACTTGAAACTTAAGCATAGGGTCGTCTTTAGTAAACAAAAAGAAAGATATTTTCTCAACCAATTGTTTTTGAACAATGCTATTTAGTCTCGTTGGAATTGCACGACTAATCTAGATGACGCTAATATGACATTAATTGATATATAAAAATAAATAACTCATTTAATATCACATTTCATTTAACCTATCTTTTAATGTCAGAGATTAATGCTTGAAATTATAATCCCAAAGGAACTGCATAACATTATTATTATTTTTTTTATTTTTTTAATCCCTGGTCAAGTTCTCAATAATATTCGAACGATCATCTGTATCTATCAAAATTTACACATTATCAATTGTTACCAAAACTTTATACAAAGATCAACCAATTAATAATGTGATAGAAAAGAAAAAATTTCACATGAACATTCTCAAATAATTGACTAAATAAGTAATAAATGTGTGAATGCACATCGTGCTACTTGAAATTTACCCATAAAGTCACCTTAAAAGGACGAGAGGGATTTTCTCACAAGTCGAGTTCTCAATAGGATTCAAACGTTCTATATATCTTATCAAAATTTACATACAGTCAATAGTCATCAAAAAAATATTTACAAAAGGATGATCGAAATCTTTCAAACACGTACATGTTACGTTTTACAACATTGTAATTTACGCAGAAAAGTTCCAACGATCACCATAGTAACGAAGAACTTAATACACAGATGACGAAAGCCATTCAAACGCCTAAAAATTCGGGGCTTTTAACCTCGTCGGTAGTTACGACTATATCCCTACGACAATATGGGCAGTCCCCACAAGTCCGTAGCCAGGGTTCCAAGCAACGAAAATGAAACCTATGAGCACAAGGTAAGCATATTAGCTCATCTCCCATCAAAAAGCTCTCTAGGCATATGCTACACTCCCTTGATGCCCTCGATATAGCCTGCTTGTCGCTTTCATCCGAGTCATTGAATATATCGACGTGCAAAGAGTTCAGCGCCTCTTGAGTGAGTCCTGGAGGTCTTTTACCTATTTGTTGCGTCACAGAATCAGTGGACAAGGGAATTGAAGCCTGCCAGTCCTCGGAAGTTTCAGTTTCCCAATCTCCAGCATCAACTAGTCTAAAATCATCCAATAAGAAGGCTAGCATTTATTAGGCTTCAAGTCTAGAACTATAGAAAAATAAATATCAAGATATGAGAAATTTGAAATGGAGCTCACTTCAAGAACAATATTATGCTCATATTTTACAAGGCATATTAGCAAGGTGGAAATTTAGAAGAAAAAGAAATGTATCACTCCAAATAGCAGATTTAGCAACAAAAACTACAGATAGTAGTTGTTCACGAACCATGATCAAACCATATTTTGCACCCCCTTCGGCTTAAAGCATCAAAATAACAAAATCATTAAAAGTACACAAGAGAAAGATATGAACCAAGTAATGGGAGTTGTGTGATTTATATTTAGTTAGTATGCATCAAGACTGAATTTTCCAGTTTGGTATCGAACATCTCCTTTACAGAAAAATGGAACTGTTATACAAAACAAAGAAAAGAAATTTTGTTCGGCGTATTTGTGAGTCTGGGTGGTGTTGGGCATATCTGGGGGAAAAGAAGGAAAAACAGGTAAGGAGAGAGAGAAAAAGAAAAGAGGAGGATGTTAACTGGATGTTGGAGTAGAGAGACATAGAAGGCCCAAAAGTTCAGTTTATATCAATTTTTTGGTTACATAAGTTCATATAGGTTACACCAAATAACCCGCACAACTAGAAGAAAGAGGGAAGAACACGACAATAAAGCTTCATGATTGAGGAGATCAACCTGTCTCCAGATAGAGTGACACCTCTCAACCTTCGTAGAAGCCTTTCTCTTGCAAGTAGTACAGATCCGGGAAGCCGACTGTTCCCACTGCTAACAATTCCGGAAGCAGAGTGGTGGATCCCTCGATCAAGCCAAATTGAATCACGTTCCTGAGCATATAAATAATTCTATAAAACAATTAAAAAATAGGCATAAATGTCTTTGATGAGCACGACTTCTTTTCTTCACCATTTGCAAGATAATCAGAAAGTTAATCTATACCCAAGTAAACATGCCTATGTTATTCCATTCCCACTACTCATAAAGATAAAAGTTTAAGTCATGAATTGAGCTCAACAAAAAATAAAGCGGGTTGGAGACGTTAGAATCTTAAGTTTAGAACGGCATACAGATCGTCAACACAAGGTAATCTGAACCTGTTTAGTTAGTCTTATCAATCAATTTTCAAACCTGCTACTAAATAACCAACACCCAACGTACTTATTTGTGGTTGGACCTGGATTAATCAAGGGTATGGGTTGCAATTGCAGCTTGCAGTTTATGAAAGCCTCGTTAATAATGTACATTAAACTGGTCTTACTTGAAGTGGAAGCGGAGGACGATTAGAAGGCGCGTGTCGAGACTGACGCGGAAGGCGTCGCAGAGGATTGCACCCCTCAATATCCAGCCGATCGCGGCCGCCAGAATTATGATGGTGGTGATTATTTGAGTGGCGGTGGTGGCGGCGATTGTTCCGATCGAGAGGGGTTGGAGAGTTGAATTCCGGTTCGAGGTCCAAAGGATTCGAACTCCGACCAAAACGAGACCTCCTGGTGTTGAATAGCTCCGACGCGCTCGTCATACAAGTTCAATTAAACTGGAAAAATAACAACCGACAGCCTGTTTCTTCAATTATTCGAAGATTCAGAAGTAGAACAGAATATGGGTTCAAGGAAATTGCAACAATTTTTATTCGTGTAGAGGCTGATGTAGAACCGCGGCAGGGAAAAGAATAGGGACGTGCGTAAATATATAGGCAAATGCCCCAAAATATCTCTCTTTCAAACAGAATTCATTAAGATTTCATTTTACTCATTTGCAATATCACTTACATAATAAAATTTTTCGTACATAAATTTAAATTTATTTCATATTTTTTAACTACGAATTCTTGAAAAACCCAATATTTAGAATTTAGTTTTTTCAATATAAAGATCATCAAAAAGGTTAGATTTTATGGTCAACTATCTCTGAAGTTCAAACATTGTCTTAAAATTTATATGTGTCATAGTTTTCGTTGTTTTGACGAGTTTCATGTGACGTGCCACCTTGCTAGATATCGTTCATGAGGTCAAACATTTGGTAGTCTAAGTCAGTAAGCATACTTCAATTATAATTGTGAGGACAGTCCATAAATGCATGCACACGTACAATGTATAAATGAAGTCTAAAACAAGGACACCTATGTAGTTTTTAATTTAGAAAACTAAAGAAGAAAAACAGCCGTGCTACAGGTCCCAACTGGGCAACCGACCCAAAAATAGGGGGCGATTTCAACTTCAATTTTTTTCCAGATCCAAGGGCCGAGGTGGCACCCTGGATTTTGGTCGGTCCCCGAGTTGGGACAACTTGCATTTCCTGAAGAAAAAAGGTTCATTTCAAAGAAACTTAAACATCTCAAAAGATACACAATTAATTCATATTATTAATTTCATTAGTTAATTTCTAGTACGCTTTTTGTTATTCAATTTATACCCTTGCGTATATATTTTTTCTATCTGTTTTTACTGACTTAAGCATTGAAAAGACTATGAAAATAATTGTAGAAAATCTGAAGGTTTTGTTTGTGCTCATCTCTTGTGCCTTCCCAGCTCGATATTAGGTATTTTCAAATATTATTTTTGATAGCATCATTGATATTGATTGTGAAAAACATTGTTAAAGTCATGGTTGACACAAGTCATGACGTCATGCTTCTGGGTCTATAGCACAAGACTCTGATGACATTCGCATTTAGCAAACTCCATCAGTAGGGGACCTCTCATTGCTCCAGTTCATGACGCAAAAGAAGATCCTTGGTAGATTCACAAGTACAATGCAACCTAGGACTGAACAATGAAACTGTCAAATCGCAAAATCGAATCGAAACCGTTGGTTTGATTTTACGTGGATCTGTCAATGTTTAGGTTTTGAACCAAACAAAACCGCTTCGAAGGGTTTGGTTTAGGTTTCAATATTTGCAAATCGTTTCAAACCATCAAACTGTTTACCAAAAAAATCTGAAAATAAATTAGTCTAAATTTTATCTAACCCAATTAAAATTTAACAAATTTCAGTTAAAAAGATATATTCATATTAGACATAATCCAATTAAACTCAATTCGACAATTTTACATCTCAAATAATTAATTAAATCGTATCCAAATACCCATTAGTTAGCAGAATTATGAATATAAAATCATTAAATTTGGGTAAAGTGTTGAACAATTGCTGTAAATCATATTCATCGATTCACCATTATAATTGAGCAAACAATTAGATCTAGATTTTTATTTTAAACTTGCTCATTTCATTTCCTTCTATTAATAATTTTCTTAAATTTTTCATAAATTCAAGTCAGATTATCCAAATTCTTTTATTTTTTTGGTAATCTTTTTCTATGGTTTTATTGGTAGTTATGTCATTTTGTTCTAATAATTATCATGTTCCTTTAAAGTAATTCGCTAATATTTGAATGGAGTAGAAGAATTGAATGATTCACAAAAAGTCATAGTAGTTAGGTATTATTGTATTTTATTCTTTTATGCATTTTCTTTTATTAGTTATTTTATATCATTTAACTATAATCAATGAACTCATGTGCTATATTTTTATATTTATGAAGAGAGTGAATTGTGTATTACAATTGTAAATGGATGCCATTATTATTGATTAAGAGTTTAAAATATTTATATCATGTTTTACATTATAAGGATTATAATTATATAATTTTGATTTCTAATTTTTTTAATAATACAACTTATGTTTTAACATGAAATTTTAGACTAATATTTACGATTTAACTTATTTGATATATTAATTTTTTCATTGTCAAAACTGTGGTTTGAAACCGAACCAAATCAGAAAAAAATAGTTTGGATTGGTTTGGTTTCGTAATTGAAGTAGTTTGGTTAAGTTTGAAAAAATTTTAAACCGCTTTAAATGGTTTGGTTTGAAAATTTGTCTTAGACTGTCCAAATCGAACCGTGTTCTTCCCTAATGCAACCAGTATCATTCAACACCAGCGGCACCTCAGGTGGCCATAATGTCGGAGGCGTTTTCATGACCTTAGGCAATGGGTCTTGAGCTAGCGAACAAAGCCTCCTGCTCCACCTTCGACGTATGCCATGCCACCTCTGACAATATCATATGCTACCTCTAACTTATCCGACATAACCTAATATATCCCATGCCTTTTCTAGCTCCTCTTATGCCGTCCCTGATGGGCGTAGGAACCTAGCCCCACATCCTTAATACCTTCGCCCCAAGTAGATCTCAATGACATGTTTCCTCGAGAACAACTGTAACATATGCACCAAGGCCACTATGGGATCTCTTAACCTAATGTGGGGGAACTCGCCCAGATCACTCGATAGGGACTCATTGAAGCCTTGCGTATGTACCACACACACGTCCACTTGCTACGTTATGGGCATACCATTCATCAAAGATATTCTCTCTTACCCCCTCCCAAATAGGTTCAAGCATCCCAGCATGAAAATAGTTCAATGATATTGCGGATCGCATTGATCACCTTGTTAAATGCACAGACATGATATCCTTGCAAAAGCCCCCAACCTTATCCTCTAGGTGACCTTTTCTCAAACGATGTCAGAATCGAGAAGAAAATGGTTCAACATCCTTGGACCAACTCCGTTACATGATAAAAATTAGATTTTTAGTAGATTTTGATGAAAGTTGATTAAATGTGTGGTTGAAAAATCGTAGGTCATGTTACTAAAATTAATTGATTTGTGCTATATGTAGATAATGGTTAACATAATGATTTACATCTACATAATGTAGTGAGATATGATTATGTCATTTTATTTTTCAAACTAATAAAAAAATTCACTCTTTTTTCTAACAAGTTATCTATATGTAAACTATTATATAATTCATTTATGTACAAGTAGCATTATTCAGAATTAATTATTGATTTTGACATAAATTAAAATATAGATTTTAATCATTACTAAATAGGAACTAATATTAATAATGGGCTTGAAAAAATGTATTTTGGAATAGTAATTTTTTTTTTAAATGAATGGTTAAAAAATAGACAAAAATTTTGAATTTACATGTAAAATCATTTCATGGAAAAACGTGTGGTTGAAATGAGTTTTAAAAACACAAGTTTTGAGAAAACAGGGTATAGTCATAGAGCTAGAATTTTAATTTTTCCCGTTAGGTTTAAAATATTGTAATATAGTATATTCATATTATACATAAATATCACCGACATTATATTTAAAATTATTTTACATATAAACTTTACTAAATAGAAAAGGAAAAAAATCAAGATTACTAAGTATTAATTTATTTATTTTTCAAAAGTATTCGACTAGACCTTTTTTGTTATACGACACCGCCCATGAAATTCATTTTTCATGGTGTTTTAATTTATATAATACACGCTACTATAGATAATAAACAATTTTGATTGAATATATTTTGAACATGGGCCCCTTTGTTTTGAGGGGGTGTATATCAGGCTATTAAACTTGATGTACGTGTAACAAAATCCATTTTAAAACTAAAACATATAAAAGGCTAAAATCCTTTATGAATAATTTTGGAAGTACAGGGGAAAAATTTTTTTTGCACAGATGTTGCGTTGGCAGTACCCTTATGGCTGCTTTTCTTTTATATTTTTGTCAATTTCCAATAATAATTTGTCAAGTGCTAATTTGTATAAATTCTGTAAAATAATTCCTGTACATATAGCATTTTTCATCTTTTATAAGTGCACGCAACGTCAACGTGCACGGTACCTTTACAAAATTAGTTTTAAAAAAAATGTCAATTAAAAATATGAAAGTAAAATAGTCAATAACTTGTATCTCATAGTTTTCAGCAGTTTCACAAGTTGGTGCAAGTTGCATGTGACACTTCAACTTTCTAGGATTCATAGGATCAATTTAAAGTCATTAGCTTTAATTCAAATTCTATACATATATCGAGTGATGACGCTGAGGTCTCCCTCCATAAATACCTACGAAGGTACAAGATATAAATGGAGGAATGGGCACAGCCTTTACGGGGCAAAAAGTTTCGACTTTACAATAAAATAAATATGCTTCAAGATAGTTAGACGAGAGACTGGCTGAATAATATAGAATTTTTAGTTAGGCGTCATGCATAAAAAGTCTTGAATATTTATATTATGTAAGATCGATTGATGAAAATAGATTAAAAAAAAAAAAAAAAAGAACTAATAAAATGTAACGAGCTTCTCTTTCCTTGTAATGGCTTGTTGCCTTATTTCAATCGAAGGACAATTCTCTACGAGTTTTTGACCCAACAGTTGGTTTTAGGCCCTCGTTTAGCCCCCATTAATTTTCATTCAATTACATTTTATTTTTCTCTCTTATTTTCAACCATACAATATTCCATAAAATAATAATACACGAAAATTTTTCCTTCTTTTTCAATTACTCATTTTTAAAAAAAATATTATTTCACTCATTTTCATTTTCACGAAATGGGGGCCAAACAGGGCTAGTACTGAGCGTCATCTTAAGCAAGATGGGACTTCATATGCTTGTCCAAATTCAATTTGCATACCATGACAACACGTGTCTTGCGAGCTTGGTGATCTATAATCCTACTTCGACTTTAATGTTAATATTTATCAACTTTTTAATTAACGCATTGTTAGGGTTGCATTTTAATGATGCCTTTTCTAGCTCCTCTTATGCCGTCCCTGATGGGCGTAGGAACCTAGCCCCACATCCTTAATACCTTCGCCCCAAGTAGATTTCAATGACTTGTTTCCTCGAGA